GGGTGGGGGAGGGGGGTAGATAAAGCCTGGGTTTAAATAAGTCTGTTGTGGTGAATTCCTATGAAAAATGGATTCAGGTCTTGAAATGCAAGAAAAAGTGAAAAGACACCAAATCAGTAACTTCACCATGAGCACAGAGTACTGAAGGCCATTTATGCCATTTGAGTCATGCTGAAGACACCCAATGGTTCATCTTTACATGCTCAGTGCATCCCAAACCTAACAAGGTGCACGGGGAACTGGAGAATAAAGTCAGAGTCAAAACAACACCTCATTCTAATCTGGCCATTCCCACAGTTCCATGTAAGTGAAAGATGGAACAAGAATCCTACAGAGTACTGGTCAGGGAATTAAAATTTCAACCCACTCCTAGGCCCTAGGAAACTGAGAGTGTATCACAACGCATTAATAATGCTAAAGAACTGTGCTTATTATAATAGCAGTCATAGTTAACACTATGCCTACCACGCCAAGCACTGCGCACATCGTGTTAGCTCTTTATCCCTCACCGCGACTCTGTTTTGGAGATGTGGACACTGGGTAAAGAGAGGAGAGATACTGCTTGTGGTAATTAGTAAACGGTGGAGTCTGGATCCAACACCACATCTGCCTGACTTAAAGCCACTTCTGTGAACCACCACAGACAAGACCCTCTGAAGAGAGTCCCCTCTCCAGCCTGGAGCAGCGGCTGGTGTGTGCGCAGAGCAAGGCACAGACAGAGCGGAGGTCCCAGGAGAATGGCTGACGGGAACACTGTGTGCAGGCTCTGCGCTGTGTGCATGAACTAACGCATTTACTCTCTGAGGCCAAATGAGCTTAAGTATAACTATGAAAAACATACATGAACATAAGTAAGAATAAGGATTGGTACTGGTATTGTAGGATAAATTCCAGCATTAATATGAGGTCTCCAGTTCTATATTCTGTGCAGTTTCATCACCTACACGAAATAGCATGTTAACAAGAACAACACAAAATGAAAGGACATAAACTCAGAATGAACAACAGTCCTGCAGATTACTCAGCTAAAAGGACTGCCCTTCATCCTGCCCTGGGAGTTAGTCCCGTTATTGGGTGGTCTAAGCACTCGCCATGGCAAGACGTTTCATTTATGCCCAGGGTGGTATGAGAGAAAGGGATAAAGACAGACCAGGAATGTGTCTGTGACGATTCTGTGAAGACGTACACTTTCTGTATCATTTTCTGTACGAAGGAGCTGGCACGGGGGCTCAATTGTTCAGAATATTAACAAGCACATTTCTCGGGCATTTTCTTTTGGAGAAACGACTCCATTTGGATCTTGATTTATGCCATCTGTTTTCCTCCTCATGGGGGCTGCTCTTACATTATTTCAGATAGAAATATATTCCAGGAAAAGAAGATTTAGAAAACCACTCTCAGGATCATTCTCTAGCCATAAACCACTCGCCCCTGCGGGAATTATCCTGTCACATTTCATCTAAATTGCTAACACTACACATAAATCCTACCACTCCTCTCACACGCACCTGCAGAAATTTTCCTCTTCTAAAAGCATAAACAGTCCAATTTACAGATTTAAAATGATAAATTAACTTAGGCATTAACAAAAAGCCAACAGTACGAATACGTGATCAAGTGCACCAAATTCAGAATTCATGAGACGCTGGGCTCTCTTTTTCAGTGCGGAGGTGAGGGGGTTCGATCCTTAACTATTAAAACCAGGAAAAACAATATTCAAAGCAGAAACGCAGACTTCAGAGCTCTAATCGGAAAGCTCACTAAGGACTGGATTAAAGACGCCCTCGGAATTAACCCGGAGTGAAGCCCAGGAGAGCGCCAAGCATTACCGATGCCAGAGATGGCGCCAAAGAGGTCTTTGTGCAGGTTGCTGTCCAAGGTGTTTCCAGACTTCTGCGGAGTCACCAACGGGTTCACAGCGGGCAAGGTGAGTGTCTCCTCTTTCGCAGTCTGCCAGAGGGGAGAAAGAGAAGAAATCATCAAAGACGATTTAAAAAGAGTCACCAGCTGATCTTGAAAGTGTGAGGGCAGGTGTTAGAACGAGACGGCACAGCCTGACAAGTGACATGCGCCCGAGTGGAAGGAGCAGCCACATGGGACCCGAGAGAGAGAGGGAGGTGGCGGGTGGATCATGGAAAGAGCAGGGAGAAGGGAGCACGGACTATTTAATGGGGGGCGAGGGGCAGAGAAGTCTTGGCTCATAGAGTCATTTCTCTCCCCAGAAGGTCTGGCACCTTGCCCGTTCCAGAGCTCTGATGTCCAACAGTTCTTTACATTATTTGGTATCTTCTTTCCTTCAGAAAAAGCCTCATGTGCTCTTTCCGAAGGGAACACCAGCTTTTCTCTCATGTCGGAAACCCTCCCACATGAGCAACAGGGATTCACAGGAGCACCAGCGAGACGCTTCTGCCAGCTCGGAGCTGCATGCGCACCCTCGGTCAGGGGAGAAACTGCGTTAACGCTGAAGTGAGGTCTCCAAGGGATTTTACTTGCTGCAAGCCTGGGAGAGACCAGTGTTCCTTTTTCTCAGGACTGAAGCATTACAGAAAGGATATCATTATACCCTGAATTACTTATTCTGATTAGCGAAGGTTTAGAGAATACAACTGTGAAACACAATTTGTATAGATAGGGTGAGATTAGCGTGGTGCAGTTTATGTAAGGACAGTGAAAGTTTACGCCCTTTAAAACTATAAAAAACGTTCTGCAAGTATGGCTCTTCTCAGGGCATCATTATTTAGCTGTATCCGGAGGTGAAGAGTAAAAAAGTGCAACAACGTTTCACTATTTGGGGAAAAGGGACAGAAAGATCAAAAGAAACTCCCCAAGTGTACGCTGGATGGCGAAGTGGCAAGATGAACATCTGAGCTGGTTGAGGGGTCCAGAATGAAGAGGAAAAGGAAATTGCTGAACTCTGCCCAAATGAATGGCAGGTGGCTTCCAATTATAAAGCTTTGAGATAATTTCTGGGATCACCCTTCAGTCAACTTAATTTCCAATCTACAGATTTAAAATGATAAGTTAACTGAAGCCCTTTTAAATGAATGGACGAAGATAATATAAATTAAGGTGGTCAGTTCTTGGCGGTGGGGCCTGAACTCTCTGACATCCGGCTTCACTTTCTAATTTTACAGACAGAGACTTTAGCCCAAAGAGGTGGCTTTTCAAAGGCTGCCTTGTATATTATAATCAAAACTGTCTATTACAATCGGGCTAGCACTGAGCTTTCATACTACACAGGTTAGAACTCTGCCTCTTTTTCTAACCTCCCTCCTCCGTAAAGATCTGTTGACAACACAAAGAAGATCCTTAAGTTTTTACGAGATATCAGGGCACTAAGAAAGCATGATTTTTATAATGATTTTTAACAAGAACGACAGGTTTACTGACCCCCATCTTAGCCAGAAATACAATTTACTAAGTACTGTGTATTATTACTGTTTTAGTGGCACATAGAGAGAACAGGTATGTACGGGGTTGAACTGGGTCACTCCCAAGTTCATATCCATCCAGAACCTTGGAATGTGATCTTATGTGGAAATGTAATTAAGATTTAAGGCGAGACGAGGTCCCTAAATACAATCCATCACTGGTGTCCTTATAAGAAAAGGAGAGGATACCAGGCACCAGAGACACAGACACACCAGGGAGGAGGCCACGCAAAGATGGATTAAGGCCAGAACGATGCGGCCACAAGCCAAAGGCCACGGGATTTCGGGAACCACCAGACGCTAGGAGAGAGGCAGGGCTCAGACTCTCCACCCGGAGCCTCCAGAGGAACCCACCCTGCTGACACCGTGATTTTGGACGTATGGTCTCCTGACTGTGAGAGAGTAAATGTCTGTTGCTTTGGGCCACCCAGCCTGTGGCACTTTGTCAGGGCAGCCACAGGAAACAGGCGTGGGCTGCGCATATGTGAATATGCTCACGTACACTGCCGGGGTTCACGGGGAAGGGCGACACCTCTCTCACGTTGATCCGCTGGACATTTTCAATCAGCAGACCAAACAGAGGCAGGTAGAGCGTGGCTATCCGTGCTTGGTGGCTCTGAAACAAAGACACACAGCACACGTTTACCCCAAGGTCTGAGCCGGCACTAGCCGCCTTCCTGTAAAGACCACTATGAGATTTTACTGCACAAACAGGGGAAAGTCTTAAGGCTGTTGCACTAATTTTATAGTTGGTTACTTTCTTTATAGTACTTAAAATAAAGGACATTTATCAATTCATGTTTTCTTCCATTGGCGACCCCTCACCCTGGAAGCGTATCTGTCGTCAAACGAATGCTTGATCAGCAGGTTCTTGAGCACGCTGATGGCGATCAGCCGGACCTCCCGGAACTCCTGGAGGGCGGTCCCCACCTCCCTCAGTAACAGGCCCACCAAGAAGTGGTTTCTGCAGAACTCATCGGTTAAAGAGTAGTCGAGCTGGAGATCTGAAATGAGGACAGAAACTGCTTTAGTTAGCGAGAATGTGACACTCTTTGAATAAAATAAAAACCAAACCCCACCCTCTACATTCAGCCCACTCTGGGTGTGGCTTCCAATGGGAAAAGCTTGATTATCTAAAACACTGCTCTACTTCCTAACACCCAGGGCTCTTATATGAAAACAAAATTTAAATACAGATAATTGCACTGACTTTTTATTTTCAAGCATATTACACCTATATAATTCAGTAAGTGAATAGTTTTAGTGCCAATTTTTATAATATAGAACAACATATATTATGTTACAAATGTAATATTGTTATTGACATGAAGTTATCGTGCTAATGACAGTCTTATACAAGAGTGGTCTATGGATAACAAATATGTAATTAAAGAAAGAATAAATATACATGGTTTATTTAAATGTTCTCTACTAAATGAGTTCATTTACCCGTTTCCTAGTCATTAATGCCTATATATGCCCATTAAAATCCAATGTGTTTAAAATGAACAAGTTAGCATATAACCTATTTATTTTGCTATCACTAAATGAAGAACTTATTTAATGCAGGATTTTAAAAATATACTCTTAATACTTCTGCACCTTTAAAGGTGAATAAACTAAAACAAAAGGGACAAAACACCAACCCAGACTCATAGATCATCAGCAGGCTAAATGACAACACTAAAAGCTCGTCTGGAGAAGAGACAGCAGCAAATGTGAAATCGCCTCAGACAGGGCAAATAAAAGCAGCCAAGCATCACTCAGAAGCTGGAACACACCTTTTCAGTGAGCTGCAGTAGGATTTTAGTTCTCACCCTTAATCTATTATCAGAGGAAAATCTATTCACCCCTCCTTTGACTTTAGTTTCATATGAGTTACTCCTAAACCTATCCAAAATACTAACCCAAGCCCTTTGAAACCTTTAGCAGAAGCAAGAGAAAGATTATTTGTCTTTTCAGAATAATCATGTCCACTCTTTACATTAAGCCCCATATATCCAAATGACAGTTTACAGCTTAAATTCACAAAACCCCTTAGAAGAAACCTATGGGTTAACTGTGTGTGTGTGTGTGTGTGTGTGTGTGTGTGTGTGTGTGTGTGTCAGTGAAAAGGGAGAGAGGAAGGGGAGAGATAAAAAACACTCATTCCTGTCAATGTAAGGTAAACTATCTATAGGTGACCCACCCCTATCTGCCTGGGCAGTCGTTCTTGTCACCAAATACCCAGCACTCCGCTGTGAGTTTGTGCCAATCTGCTGGGCACCTGAAGGGTTTCCACTTTGCTCAGTTCTGCAGGATAAGCAATTGGACCTGCTGGGCCAGAGCGGAAGGCAGGCATCAGCACATGGTCCCTGCCCAACCATTGTGTCTGAAGAGCTGCCCTGACAGGGGAAAGGAAAAGACAGTCACGGTCCCCAAGTCCAGGGGGGGCTGGCAACAGGCTGTGAGGTGAAGGGAGGGTGTGACGAGGCTTGGAGTGCAGGATGGAGAATAGTTCATTCCAGTTGGGTGCTGGGAGAGGGTGAGGAGGGGACCTGGCAGGCACCATGAAGGAGGAGCTGAGTGACTGGCTGGGGAGGCCGATGAGGACTCCCCCAGGGAGGTGGCTATTTGAGGTGGAGGGGGAGTTGGGGGTAGGCGTGTCACGGTTGAGGAGCTGGGCGTAGCAAGTGTGTCTGAAATATGGTGCTAGTGGGAAGCGAGACCAGACAGCTGGCAGGGTGGGATCAGGGGATGCTGAGTAACCGGCTGCTACCTCGGCCCAGAATGTTTTCCCCAGGTGTATGCACAGCCCCCTCACTTTCCTCAGATTCCATTTCCTGGTCACCCTATCTCAAATGTCACCCCGTTTCACACCCCTTTTCTTGCTTTGTTTTTCTCTCTTAGCAATTATCACTCTCTAACATTTTATATATAAATCTCCCTTAGGTAAAACAGCCAGGGATTATCATCCTTGTGTCGAAGGAAAAGGGGTTCTAGGGAAAGTAACCTCACAGGGTGATCTGATCACAAATTCCCAGGTCATGGTGGGTAGTGATGCCCAGGCATTTCACTATTTTAGTAAAAGGTTTATCTTTGTCTTAAGTAAGACCTGTTGTTTTTGTGCATTTAGATTACATTCCTTCAAAATAAGAGTAACTACCCTCAAAAAAAGCACATATTCTTGCTAACTATGCTATAATATCATCCCCACCTTGCTTTCTCCCACCTTCATGGAATCTTCCTTAGGTTCCCTTCTTAATAATTCAAAATGCATAAAGGAAGCTGCTGACTGTCATTCCAAGAAGTGTTTGAGGTCTTGCTTCCTGGCAATTGTCATCAGTTTTGCCCAAATAAAATCTTACAAAAATTCTTCACAGGTCCAGACATTTGTACATGGATACTTGTCCACAACTGTATCCTGAGGCTAAACATAGTTGGTGCTGTATAAATATTTGGAGAACCCCTGAATGGCCAACTCTAGGGCCACAATCCCTCTTCTCATTCCTTCAGAATCAGTCTGAGTCTGTTTGGGGGGAAGGTATTTATGTCTCTGAATGAATGCCTTTGTGTATTTCTCTCTGAATTTCAGAGTCAGTTGATTTAGCTGTTATTAATAGTTTGATGGCATCCTTCCACTTTCTTCTTTCCTTTAGCGTAAATAATCCTGAACACATACAGGCACCAAACCTAGTAAAGATCACCCGAAAGACCTGGCAGGCTTCATTGATTTATTCAGTGAAGATAAAGAAATCAATGTGAGCTGAACTGAAAGAGGATACAGGACAATGAGTACAGACCCAACATGCAAACGTAAAAGCATGTGGAAAGCCATGTGGCTTGTGACTTCGGCTACTGCCACCACTATGGACAAGGTCTGTGAAAATGGTGCAATAATACACTTTTGGAGTGAGCAGGCTCTTTGTTTTACCCAGGAGCAAAAAGCAAGGTGCCTCCCTGGGATGTTACAGCAATGTCTTAGCAACAGTGAGAAGACATTCACTGGTTTATCATGAGTTAAGAACTGACCGAAGTACATGAGAAATGCCTGGATGAATAGCATGTGCAAGCATTTCAACAATCACTTGCATTCTTTATCTATTAAAGGAGGGAAATGCAAGACAGCAAGCGTCACACCCCACACCTACCTACAGGAGTGTCATTTGACTCCACAGCTGGTGAAAGAAAAGCTAATTCATGAGAAAAAAGGAAAAGTGAAACCAATAAAAATAAACTACAGTAAGTAAAATGGATTTCTAGTGTTTAAGCAAAGGAATGTTTCAATGAAAAAGAGTTACACTAACATGATGCAGCCTGGTAAGTTTGTGGAAAAGTAAGTTCCCATAGAATACTTTATCAATATTTTAAAATGGAAATTTTACTAGAAAAATTTTTTAAAAAAAATCTAATGTCATGTTGGATTCAGTTCTCTCATCGTATTAAAAATAAATGACTCTAATCGTGAAAAAGCTAAGTAAATAAATATAAAGGTAAGATTACCTTGGTATCTTTGAATCCTGCCTTTTCCAAAGGGCATTGGTAAATTCAATGGGATATAGTGTTCATGATTGCACACCACACGGAGAAATTCAAACTTGTATTCAAAGAGGGTCTGCAGGGGAAAAATATGTTAGTCTTAAGTTAAACACCTCATTGGACACTTTATCCAGCATCCTAAAAAGCCTGTAAGAAATAACAGACCCAGGCTTTAGCTTCTTGACCTTCTCGGAACAGCAAGCTCTGTGCTATTTTAGATTTCAGAATGACTGCAGGGATTTGTTTGAAAATTGAGAACACATTTCATTAAACGATGTTCTCCACTGACTTTTAGGGCATCTATGGTTTATGCTCCTCCTACTTCAATAAAGGATTTCAGGCAGCTTACAGTTATAGACACAGACTGAATACAATCAAAAACCTGAGTGAGAGAAAAGGCCTCGGGCACTTCTATATTACCTTGCCAAATAAACTCTGACTCCCAACACGCATACTTTCAGTTTTGCAGTGAAGTCATTTCACGTGTTTATGAGAAAATCAAATAGATATCTTTACTTCACACTTGGAGTTCCTGTGTCCCTAACATCTCACTTATTAATGCAAATGAGTGCTATTTAGTATCTTCAGGAGGGGAGTGAGTCGTGCCTCTGGGACTGAAAGAAAATCCTGATGTGAACCAAGAGAAACAGGTGAGTTTCTGGAAGTGAGTCAGCGAGAGAAAAACAACAACAGGGTGGAACACACACACTACCTTCGGGTCTCCGGGAGCAAAGCAGCTGGTGTAGTTGTTGATCTGCTTGAAGACGAAGCCCCGGTCCATGAAGGTGAAACATCTCTGTGGACAAAACAACCCATAACGTCAAGCATCTAGGCCCAAACTTTTTGGAAAGTTGGGTTCCAATCTGTCTTTACTGTTAATAAGTCTGTCCTTCAGCATACAAACATGCCATTGATGCTGACTGAGCAACTAACTGTGAACTACTACATACTAGTGACTCCTCTAGAAAGGACATTTCAGTCACTTAGCAGTCGCCCTCTCGCCTGGCGCTCCCCACCTTGATGAAGACCGCAAGGCTATGATTCGCATTCTTAGATGCCTCTGGGTTGTCTCGAAATTTCTGAGTGATGTGTGGCATCAGCATATTCACAACTGTTTCCACTGCATGATGATAGGATGCAGGAAATCTCTGGTTTCGCAATACCTGGAAAGAATTTAGAGCGAACATTTATTAGTTTTTAAGTTGCAACCCTTTGGGGGAAATATCTCATCTGTGAGTCCATTTAAATAACCCAGCATTCTAATCTTATTTATCTGAAATTAGATGAGTTATTCTTTCTTCTCTCAAGGCACTGTACAAGTATTCTAATCCTCCAAAGAAGTTCTGTGGATTAGACCTGAGGTTTCAGACTTGGGCGAGATAAAGGCCTGCCTGGAGATGTTGACAGAATTGTGGAGATGTGCCTGCAGTCAGACGCCGATCAGGAGCTGCGCTTTTACCCAGTACTTCTGGTGATCCTAGCCTGTACCTCTCAGGGAGCCCTTCAGAAAACACCGCACGCATTAGGTTTAAGCTTCAAGTATTCAAGCTGCCAAGACCGGTTGAAACTGCTTGGAAGCAGTCCTCTTTGAATTAATTTTAAATTCTAATTTTTCCCTACCGGGAATGCTTACCTAAGAAATCACACTCAGACCATTTAACAATTAGCTATCCCTTGCTGTAGATCTTTGACATGTCAGGGACTGCACTAGACATTTTTATGTACTTTTCATTGAATTATTATAAGATCCCTTATGAGTTTAAACCTCATTTCGCAGGGTGTCAGGTTAAGCAAATGTGTCCTCAGTCACACAACTATCACCCAAAAAAGATTCAAATCCAGACTGACCATAAGGAAACAGTCAGGTATTGCATGCTGAAAAGTCGCTGTATTAGTCAATACTGTGCTAACTAAAAGTGGGACAACCTGATAGTGTATGCCGCCTGCTGGGGTGCAGTAGTGCACGAAGCATCCTTGGCAAAAAGCAAATCAATCCTGCATGGGGCTGAGCCTCTAGATATCACTACAAGTTCACAGGAAAGGCATGGGGCACAGAACCACGTCACAGAAAACTGTGACATTACCATCAGCCACATCTAGAGTGCTGGAAACTCTGATAAACTTTGTGGAACGAACCCCTATAGCTAGCTTGGACTTTCATGTGGAAGGAATACATTTTTTTCTTAAGTTACTGTTATTTTAGATCTCTGTCACGTGGCTGAACCCTCGGCCCTGCAGCTTAAGATATCCCAAGCATAACTCATCATGTCCTGTCTTTCCTGGTAAGCCATGTCCTAATTATCTCTCAAAAGCTCCATTCTTCTATGCTTTCAAAATAAGTGCCCCCTGCCCCCCCCAAAATCCCTGACTTTACTATGTTCTGTTTAAATCAGGCTGTGTAAGGTTTAATTTACATATACTAAAATTCACCGTTTTAAGGTATACAGTTTGCTAAGTCTTGAGCAGTGTACACAGTTGTGTAACTATCACCACAACCATTTCTTTCACCATAAAAGTTCCCTCGGGTCCCTCTGAATCCCTTCCCTCCACCTCAGCCCTTGGAGACCACTGCCCTCTGTTCTATCCCTGTAGTTTTTCTTTTCCTAGAATGTCATAAAATGGGCTCATTCACACTGCGTGAAGTCTGCATGATCATCACAGTGACTTCCTGCACTTAACATAATGTCCTTGAGATCCATCCATGTTGTTGCAAGAATTAGTAGTTTGTTTTTTCTTATTACTAGGTAGTATTCCATTGTATGGAGTTACCACTATTTGTTTATCCATTCACCAGTTAATGGACATTAGGTTGTCTCCAGTTTTTGGCTATTATGAGTAAAGTTACTATGAACATTTACATGCAGGTCTCTCTGGGAATATGTTTTTTAAATTTTATTTATTTATTTTTAGAGAGAGAAGGGGGAAGAGAAACATCAGTTTGTTATTTCATATATTTATAAATTCATTGGTTGATTCTTGTGTGTGCCCTGACCAGAGTGAACCTGCAACCTTGGCCTATGGCAGTGATGGCGAACCTATGACACGCGAACTCATTTTTTTGGTTGATTTTTCTTTGTTAAATGGCATTTAAATATATAAAATAAATATCAAAAATATAAGTCTTTTTTACTATGGTTGCAAATATCAAAAAATTTCTCTATGTGACACGGCACCAGAGTTAAGTTAGGGATTTTCAAAATGCTGACACTCCAAGCTCAAAAAGTTCGTCATCACTTTACTAGGGTGTGTGTGTGTGTGTGTGTATTTTTTGAAAATCACCTACTTGTCCAATTTAGGGATGCTGAATTTCTCTTGAAACTTCTATTTGCTTTTCTCTTATACTTCTCA